ATATTGGTGTCATTTGAATTTTTGGTTAGCGTAGAGATGGCTAGTTGTAATAACTAAACCAATTGGAAACTGAAATCATCTTCCTTGTAAAGCTGGCAGGTCATATTAATAGAAAGTCTGAAAATGAGTAATATAGACAAGTAAATATAATATTTATTTCTTCCCTCATTGGCTTTTTTTCTTAAAGGAATCAATGGGAATGATATCTTTTCTAAGGTGATCTCATTTCCAGTCAGTTTTACATTAAATGTAATATGTGTATATGTTTGACCTCCAAAACACAATTTTTCTTCAACAATTATTATTCACGGCCCACTTCCTTCCAAAAGAGAATTGTAATGGCCAAAGGGTAATGTTTTTTTAGCTTCATTGAAATATAATTGAGATATAACATTGTGTAAATTTAAGGTGTACAACATGGTGATTTGATACACTTACATATTGTGAAATGATTACCACAATAAGATTAGTTAACTCAGCCATCACCTCACATAGTTACTTTTTCTTGTGGTGAAAACATTTAAGATTTACTCTTTTAGCAACTTTCAAGTATATAATACGATATGTAATAAACATGCTGTACATTAAATCCCCAGAACTTACTCATCCTATAATGGAAGTTTGTACCAAAGTGTAATTTTTTATGTCTAACAATAGAGGATTCATTTGAAAGAATTTTGCTTTGGAATAGCAGTAATCAGTCTTTAAACATTATACTGGAGAGAGAAGCATTTGATGACTTAAAGACGTAAGAAAAATGTTTCGCGTGTGTGTCATATACATTGAAATAAACTGGAAGAAATATTCTAGTAAATGTTAACTATCTTAACTATGGTTATCATCTTCGGGTGGTGAAATTATGAGCATCTGTAATTTCTTTGCGTGTGTGTGTGTGCATGCCTGCTTTCCTCTATTTTCTGATTCTTCTCTATTTGTATACCCAGGAAACAATTTTTCATATCAAAACAATTGTCCTTTACTCAGGTACATAACACAAGGAAGACCTGATTTAAGAATATTTTAGTGTTTAAAAAAAAATTGAATACCCAGTACAAGCGCACAGCGGGTTTTAGTGTCTGGCATAGATTGCAGTCTTCGGCTGCTTGGTAGCTGTACACACACAGATCAAAGAAGCAGGAGGTCTGCTGGAAGCTGCACAGCCTGCCTTCCTCCTCCCCGTCTCTCCTCTCCACAAGCTGCGGTTTTTATCCCGTGAAGAGTCCACCAGGAAAGTTCACACTTTCTCATTCCTTCTCTGTAGGTTCCTTTTCATCTTCTCCTTTGCTAACTTGTGTACTCGGTGAGGTCCTCACATCTTTTCTCTACCGTCCTTCTTTGTAAAAAGTGCGTTTTGCCTAAAGGAAGCTACTTTATCTGGGGGGGCTAGGAAAGGAAGGATTGTAAGAGTGGGACCCTTAGGGGGTTAACATAGGAGTCCAAGCAGTATGACCTGATAGGTGGTAATCCTGCAGAAGCAGCTAGTTAATTAGTTCTGTATAGTTGATGGTATTTTAATTGAGTAATTGGAATTCATAAATAAGGAATTTTAATTGTAGCTGAAAAAGGAGCCTTCAGTAGCTTAGTTTAAAGTGCGTTGGGCAGGTTCTAAGCTGACATTCACATGTGAATTACCTAAAAATAACTGTGAGCCTCAGATTTCCATTCAGCGTAACTGGGACTAACAGTGGGACACAGTGGCTTAAGCATCGTGTGTCTACCACCTGCTAAGCACGGAGTTTGTATGAAGAATTGTGTGCCAGCCACTCAAGCTTCTGCAGGCCAGGCTAACGGCATAGCCTGAGACTGGGCAGAAGCGCCCAAGCACATGGAAAGCAGAGCAAGTCCTAGAGCATTTTGAAGGGGTCTTAGGGAGATGGAAGGAGAGCACTGACAGACAGCACCAGTGAGACTGCACGTCTCCACCATTACCTCCTGCTTTTGGGACTCTGGCTCTATACAGGTGCTCGAGTTTGGCAGAATCCTCGATAGAGAAATCATTTCCAGTTAGTGAAACTCTGAGAGATTTGATTTGTGATATCAGAGTATTGCTGATGCAGGCAGAGGCTGGGAAAAATACAGCATCACAGTAGCGCATCATTTAAAACTGAGGTGAATCATGGTTACACTGCTCAAATCAGTGGTAGTTCCTAAAATTCAAGTAGTCTTTTACCCAGAGTTAAACACAGTGTTCAAACAGTTATCTCCTCAGGACTCAGCAGGCCCCTGTGAGAGAAGAAGATATTGACGGTGGTCCAGACAGTCATTCTGGTGGCCGTCTCTGCGTATTCAGATGTGGTTTGCCTGGAAACAAAGACTGCCAGCCTTTGGGGCGTGATCTTCAGCTTTTAGTTGTATCCATAGCCCATTACTACAAAATAACAATAGCCACTGCTACAACCTATTTGGCAGTTAAGGCAGGCTTCGTAAAGTGCACGGCCGGCTGGCTCAGCCTCACCCCTGCTGCTGGCCATGGGAGTGGCACTGTGGCAAACTTACTCCAACGTGGCTGTAGCCCATTTGCCATTTGCTGAGATGGCATAAGACCCTGGAAATGGTTACCCTTTTGTATTACGTGCTAGTAAAGGAACTCTATAGCAAGGTGAAAACAGAGAGTGTGTACTTTTTTATGTTCTTCAACTTTATATTTTCCACCAAATTCTGCCTTTATTTCTTTAGTTCTCTGCTCCCTGCTAATAATAATCAGTGCAGAGAGCCCACATTTTCATTGTTATGTTTAGTTTGGATCTTCACATGTTAGGTAGGAAATTATTTACAAGAACACATACAGAGGAAATGAAGGGTCTGGAAAATAGGTAACAAGAAGTGATTCAAGAGAAGATAGCACAAGATAGGGCTTGGTATAGTATGAGAGATGTTAGTGGTTTACACCCCTGGTTTTTATTAGCGTTACCTGGGGAACTTTTAAGAAATACAGATGCCTAGGCCCTACTCTGAGAATTTCTATTTTAATTGATCTGAGGCAGGGACCAGTGTGTGTGTGTGGGTATTTTTTCCCCTCCACTATCTTCGTAGATCATTCTATGTGTAGCTAGGAATGAAAACTGGTAGATTAGTTTTTCTCTGTTTAGCTCTAGAAAGCAGAACTAGTAGCATTAGGGGAAAGGTACAGAATAGAAAGTTCCAGCTCATTATAATGAAGAATGTTCTGGTAATTAGAACTTTCATCTAGAAATATTCATGTGTACATGAATTAGCCACTTGTGAAGGATGCTGTGAAGATGACTACTTTGGATAACATGTAGGATTTAATCGTTCCTTAATTTAATTTAATTTTTTAAAAACTTTTTATTGATTATGATAGTTTACAACCTTGTGAAATTTCAGTTGCACATTATTGTCAGTCATGTTGTGGGTGCACCACTTCACCCTTTGTGCCCTCCCCCTACCCCCCTTTCCCCTGGTAACCACCAATCAGTTCTCTTTGTCTATATGTTAACTTCCACCTATGAGTGGAGTCATACAGAGTTCATCTTTCTCTATCTGGCTTATTTCACTTAACATAATACCCTCAAGGTCCATCCATGTTGTTGTGAATGGGACGGTTTTATCCTTTTTTATGGCTGAGTAGTATTCCATTGTGTATATATATACACACCATATCTTCTTTATCCAATCATCAGTTGATGGGCACTTAGGTTGCTTCCACATCTTGGCTATTGTAAATAATGCTGCAGTGAACATAGGTGTGCATGGGACTTTTGGAATTGATGATTTCAAGTTATTTGGATAGATACCCAGTAGTGGGATGGCTGGGTCATAAGGTATTTCTATTTTTCATTTTTTGAGAAATCTTCATACTGTTTTCCATAGTGGCTGCACCAGTTTGCATTCCCACCAACAGTGTATGAGGGTTCCTTTTTCTCCACAATCTTAATTTTATTTTAAAAAAAGAAAGCGGGTTGCTGTGTTTCTGTAGATTTGGTGTGGAGTGTGCTGAGATCAGTTTGGAGCATAGTGAGTTTGAGGTCTCTGTGGGACATCTCGGTGGAGAAGTTAGTTGACTGTCTGGCTCTGGAGCTCAAAGGAGAGACCTGACTGGGTAAAGGGTGAAAAGTGTGGTTTCCCAGAAACCACATTGTAAGCGGAATAAATAGAAGTAGAATCGAGAGTTCCACTGAAAAGATGGTAGGGGAAATCACCATCTCCATACTATTTGTCATTCTTGACCCATTTCTTACTTTAAAAAAAAATTTTTTTTTTTGAGGAAGATTAGCTCTGAGCTAACATCTGCCACCAATCCTCTTCTTTTTTACTGAGGAAGACTGGCCCTGAGCTAACGTTGGTGACCATCTTCCTCTACTTTATGGGTGAGACGCCTGCCACAGCATGACTTGCCCAGTGGTGTATAGGTCCACACCTGGGAACTGAACTAGTGAACCCCAGGCTGCCAAAGCAGAATGTGCAAATTTAACCGCTGCACCACTGGGTCGACCCCTGACCCATTTCTTATAAACTTACTATGTATTAATAGTGATGAACAAGACATGGTCCCTGTGCTCATAGAGCTTATAGACAAGGAAACTGAAAACTGAAGAATCTTTACAAAATTGCGTGGCAACTTCTTCAACTGTCATGTGTCAGGTAGAGTGCTGCAGTAGAGCCCAGGGTTGCACCTGGCTTGTAAATTCCTCAGGAACGTCCTCTATGGTACATCTAAAACGAGTGACAACATATGCAGACATTGGGGTTAATGAAAAAAAGAAAGATCCTGGTGTTGATTTCTCAACCCAGAAAATAAAATCTTGGAGAAAGTTTTCCAAGATCTCTTTTATTTATATTTTGCTTTTTTCTCTTTTGCTGTCCCTTCCCTTCATCTCTTAAATTTTCCTGCTTTCGTAACGTCAATACATATTACCAGTTCTTGAATAGAGATATTTTGTGATAAGCACTTATTCCTTAGTATCTGATTTTTAGATTTGGTCATGTATTCTCAAGGACTCATTGAAAATATGGTATTAATGTAACTTTAACGACCACAGATACCGAGAGGCGATTCAGAAATGGGATGAAGCGCTCCAGTTCACCCCGAATGATGCCGCCCTGTACGAGATGAAGTCACAGGTAACGATTGTGAGGAATTTCCCTTTCATTATGAAGCTGTGCTATGTTTGTGTGGTGAGCCAAAATAGTGTTTTCTTTTTCAAAGACAGTTTATTTGGGGGAAAAAATGTTGCCATGTTATTTATGGCTCTTCCTCATGCATCAAATTAGAAATTCATTTACCTTTACAATGAAGTTAACTGTTATTTCAGCCTAACTGTGGTAAGATATGAGCAGATGGATATCTGTAAAGAAGTCACTGGTGATCTCTTAAATAAATGGAGTGTGTTTGCTTTTCTTGGGAATTATTTGTAGTGGATTTAGCAATAACTTAATTTCTTTAGAATGAGGATGAATTGGATTCTGGATGATGACATTTCCCTAAAAATGGCCTAATCCTTAGCAAAAGGTCAGAATAGACTCAATTTATTAGTAGTTTAAACATAACATTTGTCCTTAAAAATACATTTCTAATATTTTGTGTGAAAGTTCACAGAGAAAACCTGCAAGCACTTGGGTTAGGTTAGCCACGAGACTTAAAATCTCAAACAGCATTAAACGTATTTTTGGCAGGGAATAGTTGGAATTTAGCCTTGATCTACACACCTAACAGACAGCTTTCAGATGATGATCTCAAGCATAGGGCACATCTTTTATCAGCTTTGATTTTAGCTCATCTGGGAAAAACCTAAATAATTTATGTCTACGAAATGAAGTGCTATGAGGACCTTCATTTGGATAAGACTTTAATTTTCAATCTTGAATATATATGTATATATTAACGGCAGGATGGGGCCGGCCCCGTGGCTGAGTGGTTAAGTTCGTGTGCTCCACTTCTGGGGCCCAGGGTTTCACTGGTTTGGATCCTGGGCCTGGACATGGCACCGCTCATCAGGCCATGTTGAGGTGGCATCTCACATGCCACAACTAGAAGGACTCACAACTAAAATGTGCAACTATGTACTGGGGGAGTTTGGGGAGAAAAACAAAAAAGAAGATTGGCAACAGTTGTTAGCTCAGGATTTGTAGAAGGCAGGATTTGTAGCTAACTGTATGAACCGAGTTGTTTAATTTGGAGCCTGATCATGATGGTTATATCACAAATCTTGTGAAATACAAATTGTTCCAAAGATTATAGATAAAATCCAACCCTTTCCTATAATTAAAATTCTACAACTTTCTGACTTTTCTGGTTCGTAGGGTTTGAAAAACCCTGTTGTGGGGAGGCCTGTGGAGCGTAGAAATGATTTTTATAGCAGGAAGATGTTCACTGGGGACAGGATGGGTGGTTGAACAAATTTAAATTTACCTAGTTTAACAGCTAGACCTGGGGTTCCCTAAAAACCGCATTGTAAGTAGAATAAACAGAAGTGAAACTGAGAGTTCAAATAGCTCTGAGCCATCATGGCTAGAATATGACCGCTTGGTTTGGACCAGATGGACAATAGACTTCAATACTAGAAAGGGAATAGTTTATACTTTCATAGTTACTTCAAGAGTAGAAAGAAGAATATAATTCCTGACTCTGAAAGGCAGAGGAGAGGGCTCAAAACCACTGAAATGCTATGTTTACCAGACTAAAAATATGTTTTTCAAAATGAAAAGCATTGCTTACGTATGATTATCCATTAGTAGTTTGCTAGTGTATGAATATTACCGACAGGTTTTTTTTCATCCTTTTGGCTCTAGGTCCTGATGTCTCTTCACGAAATGTTCCCAGCAGTCCATGCAGCAGAAATGGCTGTCCAGAGAAATCCACACTCATGGGAGTCTTGGCAGACTTTGGGACGAGCTCAGCTTGGCTTAGGAGAGATAGTCTTGGTAAGGAAGTCAGATTATCGTAATACTGAAATTTTATTTTGGCATGCTTTTGATCAACTGAACCAAAAAGTAAGTAGTCATTTATCAAATCTATGCAAAAATAAATAGCAGATTACCTCTTAAAGATATTAGCTCATAAACACAGATCAAAGTAATTACCAAACATCTTTTTCCATTATAAACACCATTATATCAGGGTCAGAATATTTTTCAGGTATTTAGCATCATGAAAGTTAAAAAAAATTTAACATGAAACGTTGGCATTTGGTAAACTTTATTTAGATATAAAATAAGGAATTTCTAGGTTAGTTCTTTGCATCGTTAAATTTACCACATTATAAAGTGATATAAGTATCACCATGGAGACAAAACCAGTAAAAGATTATGTTAGGGAAGGAAAAAGTAGGCTGGGAGAGTGATGGTGATAAATCTTTAGACTGAGAAGTTGCTGGCTTAGTGAGGAGAAAATGGGGAATGGTAGAAGCTTTTGAAAATGAAATACTCATGTAAAGTTTCCTGTAAACTGGTGCTTAATGCCTTTCTCAACTTGCCTGGACTATACCTTGTAGGTAGCAAAGGCTAGATGGGTGAGAGGTGGCTGTGGGGACTGTCCTATTTTTGTTTTTGTTTTGACTGGGCTATATATACCCGACAGCTAATTTCCTAAAGCATGTTTGCAAATCTAATATAGTGGTGCCAAATTTCCTCTTTGTCATTAAGTAAATTAAGACTTTTCATGCTTTTTTTTTTTTTTATGATAACTTTATTGTATTTTCTGGGTATACAAGGTAAACACAATCAGCATAGAATCTTTAAAATAAGCAGATAAACAAAATGCCAAAACATCCCTCAAAATCCTGATTACATAGTTATGTAATTTCTTCTTGTTTACCTAAAATTTTGGCGTGAACTTCTTTTCCTATTACTAAATATTTTGCTGTAACATTGAAAATATCACTGTAGTATCGGGATAGCACCAATTGCATAATCAACACTATACTTTTGAAAGTATACCTTTTCTTTCTTTTTCTTTTGCTACTATAAACAGTGCTATGAAGAACATCAATACAGGTGAATAATCACATCTTCCGGTCACTTTTTTCATTCTTGGACCACTCATAAATCTTATGGCATCTCACTTCTCAACAGCACTCAGAGCTGGTGACCATTCCCCCAGAAACACTCTCTCCTTCCTTTTGATGGCTCAGGATACTAATGTCTTTTCTTTTTTAATGACTGCTCCTTTTCTCTTTTGTAGCTCTAGCCTCCTCCACGAAATATTAAATGTTAGAATTCCTCTCACTCTTCTCATTTTAAATTTTCTCCTAAAGCCTTCTTATGCACACCCATATGCTTTTTTTTTTTTTTTTTAGTTAATGTTATGATAGATTACAACCTTGTGAGATTTCAGTTGTACATTTTTGTTAGTCATGTTGTGGGTACACCACTTCTCCCTTTGTGCCCTCCCCCCACCCCCCCTTTTCCCTGGTAACCACTGATCTGATCTCCTTATCAATATACTAACTTCCACCTATGAGTGGAGTCACATAGAGTTCGTCTTTCTCTGACTGGCTTATTTCGCTTAACATAATACCCTCGAGGTCCATCCACGTTGTTGTGAATGGGCCAATTTTGTCTTTTTTTATGGCTGAGTAGTATTCCATTGTGTATATATACCACATCTTCTTTGTCCAATCATCAGTTTCTGGGCATGTAGGCTGGTTCCACGTCTTGGCTATTGTAAATAATGCTGCGATGAACATAGGGGTGCAACGGACTCTTGAGATTTCTGATATCAGGTTCTTAGGATAGATACCCAGTAATGGGATGGCTGGGTCATAGGGTATTTCTATTTTTAACTTTTTGAGAAATCTCCATACTGTTTTCCATAGTGGCTGTACCAGTTTGCATTCCCACCAACAGTGTATGAGGGTTCCTTTTTCTCCACATCCTCTCCAACATTTGTCACTCTTGGTTTTGGATGTTTTGCCAATCTAACGGGTGTAAGGTGATATCTTAGTGTAGTTTTGATTTGCATTTCCCTGATGATTAGCGATGATGAACATCTTTACATGTGTCTATTGGCCATATTCATATCTTCTTTTGAGAAATGTCTGTTCATGTCCTCTGCCCATTTTTTGATCGGGTTGTTTGTTTTTTTGTTGCTAATCAGTGTGAGTTCTTTCTATATTATGGAGATTAACCCTTTGTCGGATAAGTGGCATGTAAATATTTTTTCCCAATTAGTGGGCTGTTTTCTTGCTTCAATCCTGTTTTCCCTTGCCTTGAAGAAGCTCTTTAGTCTGAGGAAGTCCCATAGGTTTATTCTTTCTATTGTTTCCCTCAACTGAGGAGTTATAGTGTCAGAAAAGATTCTTTTGAAACTGATGTCAAAGAGTGTACTGCCTATATTCTCTTCCAAAAGACTTATTGTCTCAGGCCTGATCTTTAGGTCTTTGATCGATTTTGAGTTTATTTTGGTGTGTGGTGAAAAAGAATGGTCAATTTTCAATCTTTTGCATGTGGCTGTCCAGTTTTCCCAGCACCATTTGTTGAAGAGACTTTCTTTTCTCCATTGTAGGCCCTCTGCTCCTTTGTCGAAGATGAGCTGACCATAGATGTGTGGTTTTATCTCTGGGCTTTCAATTTTGTTCCATTGATCTGTGGACCTGTTTTTGTACCAGTACCATGCTGTTTTGATCACTGTAGCTTTGTAGGATGTTTTGAAATCGGGGATTGTGATTCCGCCGGCTTTGTTTTTGCTCAGGATTGCTTTAGCAATTCGCAGTCTTTTGTTGCCCCATATGAATTTTAGGATTGTTTGTTCAATTTCTGTGAAGAATGTTCTTGGGATTCTGATTGGGATAGCATTGAATCTGTATATTGCTTTAGGTAGTATGGACATTTTAACTATGTTTATTCTTCCAATCCATGTGTAAGGGAATGTCTTTCCATCTCTTTTATGTCATCGTCAATTTTCTTTTCAAGAAAAGTCTTGTAGTTTTCATTGTATAGATCCTTCACTTCCTTGGTTAAGTTTATCCCAAGGTATTTTATTCTTTTCGTTGCGATTGTGAATGGGATTGAGTTCTTGAGTTCTTTTTCTGTTAGTTCATTGTTAGTGTATAGAAATGCTACTGATTGATGCACGTTAATTTTATACCCTGCTACTTTGCTGTAGTTGTTGATTATTTCTAATAGTTTTTCTGTGGATTCTTTGGGGTTTTCTATGTATAAGATCATGTCGTCTACAAACAACGAGAGTTTTACTTCTTCGTTACCTATTTCGATTCCTTTTATTTCTTTTTCCTGCCGAATTGCTCTGGCCAGCACCTCCAGTACTATGTTGAATAGGAGTGGTGAAAGTGGGCACCCTTGTCTTGTTCCTGTCCTCAGAGGGATGGCTTTCAGCTTTTGTCCATTGAGTATGATGTTGGCTGTGGGTCTATCATATATGGCCTTTATTATGTTGAGGTACTTTCCTTCTATACCCATTTTACTGAGGGTTTTTATCATAAATAGGTGTTGGATCTTGTCGAATGCTTTCTCTGCATCTATTGAGATGATCATGTGGTTTTTGTTTTTCATTTTGTTGATGTAGTGTATCACGTTGATTGACTTGCGGATGTTGAACCATCCCTGTGTCCCTGGTATAAATCCCACTTGATCATGGTGTATAATCTTTTTTGATGTATTGCTGTAATCGGTTTGCCAAAATTTTGTTGAGGATTTTTGCATCTATGTTCATCAGTGATATCGGCCTGTAGTTCTCCTTCTTTGTGTTGTCCTTGTCAGGTTTGGGGATCAGAGAGTGATGTTGGCTCATAGAATG